TACTTTGTAAATTATGATATTCTTGTCAAGTGTTAAGTTAGATTTGTCATACAGTTTGCCAATGTTATTTATTTCAGGACTATTAGCATTTCAAAAACAGGACGTCCGTAACAGACACTGTTAAACTCAATGCAACAAATCACCAGACATTTATGGAGAGACATACAATCTGCGTCTACTTCCATATGGCCAATATTGCGATTATAATATGACATAATTGGTCTTGTCACACTCCTGCTTAAAACTTGCTTTAAAAATGGTTCTACTCTCCTACGGGTATTTGTAAGCCCTGCTATAAAGCAGGTTCTCTCAGGCAGTGATCCTCATACATTCAGATTTACTGATTCTCCAAACATGTTTTCATTCCTGTCATGTTCTATTTCAGTGATTCCAGGCAATATTTCTGTCCTTGTTTTCTGTCCTTCAATCCTAAGTCCTCTTTGCTTGTGATTTCAGAGTCTTTCCCTAAAGAATCCAAGTTTTCTTTTTTTATATTTCTATGCTTCTTTTTTTGTCTAACTGATGAAAAAGTGCCTATCTCTGCAGCCTTATATCCTATGTCATCAACCCTATGCAATCCACTACCTGTTTCTCAGGCAGGCATTTGCTGATGCTTTTCTGTTCACACTGCAAATTCCACATGCCAATGTAAGAGTACTGGGTCACAGAAACATCACAGAAAAATGATTTTTGTATCAGATTGTCCAAGTATTAAAATAGACCCTGGGGCCAGCACTGTGGTGCAGCTGGTTAAAGCGCTGGCATCCCATATGGGCACCGGTTCAAGTCCCTGCTGCTCCACTTCTGATCCAGCTTTATGCTATGGCCTGAAAAAGCAGCAGCAGATGGTAAGTCCTTGGGCCGCTGCACCCAAGTGGGAGACCTGGAAGAGCCTCCTGGTTCCTGATTTTGTATCAGCTCAGTTCTAGCCATTGTGGCCATTTGGGGAGTGAACCAGCAGATGGAAGACCTCTCTCTATCTCTGTAGTTCTTTCAAACACACAAATCTATTTAAAAAAAAAAAAAGATCCAAATGAGGAGACTGTTTCTCTTGCATTTAGCTCTTGACTTCTTTTTCTTTCTTTTTAAATTTATTTTGTCTGTGTTTCTTTTGAACTTTTACACACACACACACACACACACACACGTGCACACACACATGCAATGCTAATTGAGCCATATTGTCAGTATTTCTTTTACCTTCTCTCTATCAGTGTTTAACATACTTCCACAGGAGAATGTCTAATATATAGGGCTCGTTCATGTGCAACAGCAAAATAAAGCATTTAACCCCCTTTAAAGTCACTTAAAATATTTAAATTCAACAAGAGAGTATTGATAGCATAATATGAAACTATGTATTTCATGGTTGTTTCAACTAGGGAAATTTATTCCACCCTGTAAGCTTTGATTTCTACCTCTGAAAAAATACAGACATGAAAACATCCATATTTCTTAAATTTACAGACTCAATGAGATCCAAATCAAATACCAAGGACATTCTTCTCAGATCTAGAAAAAATGATTCTAAAATTCACATGGAAACGCAAGAGCAATTGAATATCTAAAACAATATTACCCAATTAAAAACAAAGCCAGAGGCATCACAATACCAGATTTCAAGACATATTACAGGGTTATTTTAACCAAAATATCCTGGTTCTGGCACAAAAATACACACGTAAATCAATGGAACAGAAAATAAATGCCAGAAATTAATCCACACATTTACAACCAACTGATATTTGACAAATGAGCTAAAATTATTCCTTGGAAGAAGGAAAGTCTCTTCAACAAGTGGTGTTGGGAAAACTGGATCTCCACATGCAGAAATACGAAATAAGACCCCCTATCTTACACTCTATACAAAGGGCAGCTCACAGTGAATCAAGAATCTAAACCTAAGATTTAAATCTTCAAATTACTAGAATAAAACAGAGAAAGTGATGCAAGACATTGATCCCAGAAACACAGGCAATAAAAGCAAAAAATAGACAAATGGAATTACATCAAACTAAGACATTTCTGCATAGCAAAGGAAACACTCAACAAAATGAAGAGGCAACTGAAGGAATGGGACAAAATATTTGCAAACTAATACAGGTGATAAGGGATTAGTATCCAAAATACACAAGGAGCTCAAAAAGCTCAACAATTACAAAGCAAACAATAACGATGAGAAATTAGAAAAGAACATTTTTCAAAGGACAAAATACAGAAAGCCTTCAAACACATGAAAAATGCTCAGTATCACTGGTTATCAGAGATATGCAAATAAAAATCACAAGGAGGTGTTACCCCTGTTAGAATGGCTACCATCCAAAAATCAAAAAATATCAAAGGCTGGGAAGGATGTTGAGAAGGTACCTTAATATGCTATTTGTGAGAATTAAACTAGCACAACTATTATGGAAACAGAATGGGTATTGCTCAGAAATCTAAAAATATATCTACCACATGACCCAGTCATCCTACTCCTGGGAATATAGGCAAAAGAAATGAAGTCAGGACATGAAAGTGATACTTTGAATTCTGTTTATAGCAGTTTGATTCACAATAGCTAAGATATGGAATCAATGCAGATGTCCATCAACTGACTAATGTATAAAAAATGTGGTATAGATATACATGATGGAATAATATTCAGCAATAAAAAGGACAAATTTCTGTCTTTTACAACAAAATGGATGGAACTGTAGATTATGCTTAGTGCTATAACCCAGACCCAAAATGGTGAATATCACATTATCTCTGATTTGTAGTACTTAACATACACAGTTTAAATATTTTAATGTATGTGAGTAAAATTGAGAAAAAAGAATTGACCCATTATTTATAAAATAGCTAATACATGATTTGCCTTATGTTTTGTTTCCCCATCTATTCCATTTTATTACAATTATTTGAACATGAGTTTTTCTTCTATTGCTTTATTTTGAGTTATTAGGAAAGAGAACAGGACATATTTATTCATTTGTTTTATACCAGGTGTCTACATGATAGTTAGCATGAATAATATAGCACAAATAATGTAATAATTTTGAATAATTTTATCATTTATAGTAGAGTTATCTCTTTTCCTTTACATAACAAAGTTTTTTTTTCAGAGAAAATATTAGATTTAGACATATGCTCCCTTTAGACATGTGTTCCCAAAATAAACTTAAAACGTCTTTCTTGTGAAGAATTTTAACCTTCAATTCTTCTGTCCTACTTTGCAATGAAAAGACATTTCAAATAATCCTTCCACACCACACCCAAACACACAGAGATTTCCTTTCACTGTCATTGATTAGACATTTATTATATGCACATTATTTTTTAAAAAAGATTTATTTTATTTATTTGAAAGACAGAGTTGCAGAGAGAGGTAGAGACAGAGAGAGAGGTCTTCCATCTGCTGGTTCACTCCCCAGAAGGCCACAATGGTCGGAGCTGCACATATCCAAAGCCAGGAGCCAGGAGTCTCCTCCAGGTCTTCCACATGGGTACAGGGGCCCAAGGACTTGGGCCATCTTCTACTGCTTTCCCAGGCCATAGCAGAGAGCTAAATTGGAAGAGGAGTAGTCAGGACTAGAACTGGCACCCACGTGGGATGCCGGCGCTTCAGGCCAGGGCTTTAACCCGCTGCGCCACAGAGCTGACCCCTATATGCTCATTCTTAAACCCTTAACTTCATGGGCCAACACATGACCATGAGGAAGACAGGATTATCCAAATCTAACAACTGGGAAGAAGGCATTACTGAAAAGAAGGAGGGACATTTAAAAGTGTTGCTATAAATCTGTGTGTGGGTTTTTTTTTTTTTTTTTTTTTTTTTTCAGGCAGAGTAGACAGTGAGAGAGAGAGAAAGGTCTTCCTTTGCTGTTGGTTCACCCTCCAATGGCCGCCGTGGCCAGCACACTGCAGCTGGTGCACTGCGCTGATCCGATGGCAGGAGCCAGGTGCTTATCCTGGTCTCCCATGGGGTGCAGGGCCCAAGCACTTGGGCCATCCTCCACTGCACTCCCTGGCCACAGCAGAGAGCTGGCCTGGAAGAGGGGCAACCAGGACAGAACTGATGCCCCAACAGGGACAAGAACCCAGTGTGCCAGCGCTGCAAGGTGGAGGATTAGCCTAGTGAGCCACGGCGCCAGCCTACAAATCTGCTTTGTATTTCACCTTTTCCTTTGAATAATCACATCTCTCCTTGTATCTTCAAAGACTAAATATTTGCGTGTGTTCAGGAGATTTCAAAATAATTTTCCAGTGTCTTAATCTTTAATTACAAATCTGAATTTCTGATTTGCATATTTAGTATTCTTATTATAACTTTCCAGTATATCCAAAACTGGACTTATATTTAGTTTAGAGTTGTACTTTCTCAGAGTTTACACCTTGCTATGAGATTTACTCTTTGGACTCAATTTCATCCCACTCTCCCTGGGTAATCAATTAGTCATATAATATGTATTTTGTACTTAATCCACATATACCGGCTCTCTGTGTCTGTGGTTGCCACATCCATGGATTCAGTCAACTCAATAAAAAAAATACTTGAAAATGTACTGTCTGTTCTTTTTTTATGTTCATCATTCCCTAAATAATATATTATCACAAGTACTTACATGTCATTTACATTGTATTAGATATTATAAGTAATGTGGGAGTGCAGCGAAGTGGACAAAATGGTAGTAAGCAACAGGACATTCCGAGTCACATGGGGCAAACTAGTAAATAAGGAGAGGGGATAGAAGCTGGCACCAGAGTCCTGAGAAATTCATGCAGAAAAGCCCAGGAGTCCAACAGAGACTGGGCAGGTCCATGCTGAGGAAGCAAGAAAGAAAGCAAAGTGGCGGGGGCTCAGTGGAGGCAAAGTGAAGGCGCAGTGGAGATGTCCAAAGAGGAGATTGGTGTCACCCACCCAGAGAACCAGGTGAGAAATCCTCTGCTGCAGGCAGCGGAGGGTGGGGAAGCCTGGTGAACTGTGCTTGAAGCTCGTAGTAGGAAGAAAGAGAAAGTATAAGGGAACATTGTCACTCCCTCGCCCGCAAAGGAACGACACTGTTCGCAGCTTATCAGTCTTCAGTAGACTTTTAATAAGAAAATAACAGTGACAGAGAAAGAATGAAGGGAGGAGAGTGGACAGAAAAGCCCCCTCCTTCCTCAGCACACAGCTTATATACAAAATCCGGCCAATTGCAAGCGGGCTCAAGTCCATGCACGGAACACTCCAATCCGCTGTCTGTTCACGCAGTATGCACGCGTCCTTGGGCCAATCAGATGTCACTCAGCAGGCAGGCTCACTGCGCGGTCCTCGGCACCATCTTGTTGTTTACGAGACAGGCTCAGTGCCTCTGGAAATTCCCGACCGTGGGAAAGCATTGCCCTAACCGAAACTAGCAACATTTGCCTTGTGATAAAGACACAGCAACAGCTATCAGACCGACCTTGACGTGGGGGCTCCATGGCTGCGCATCCCATGGAGCCCCACAGAACATATGGAGAGGTCAGGCACACCCTTGTCCATCTTTGTCTCCCCACTGTCACCAACAGGACCTGCAAAAGCTGGAGAGAAGCCATATTGATCGTGTACATTATCAAATGTAAGCAGGGGCTATGGCATTTGCCTCCCATGAGCACGTCCATCAATTGTGAGGGCCAAATCACAATACCTCCCACCCAGGAAAGAGGATCAAAACATTTCAGAGTAATTTCCTACACAACCATGCAAGTTGTACAACAAGGAGAAGTACTAAACATCAAAAACTCAAGCTTGCTTCACATACCAGTGAGAAGTGAGCCCAGCTCTAGGAAGTGGGAAATCTGTAGAAGTGTAATTGACACTATGAGAAACACTGATTGAACAGCCCTTGTCTTGATTGTTGAGGAATAATTTTATTATTTTAATTTTTTTTGCTATTTTCTTTTTCTATTTAATACCATTGATTTAACTCTTTACTTAACACAGAAATATTCATATGTTCATCAGGCTTCCCCACCCTCCGCTGTCTGCAGCAGAAGATTTCTCACCTGGTTCTCCGGGTGGGTGACACCAATCTCCTCTTTGGGCGTCTCCACTGCGCCTTCACTTTGCCTCCACTGAGCCCCCGCCACTTTGCTTTCTTTCTTGCTTCCTCATCATGGACCTGCCCAGTCTCTGTTGGACTCCTGGGCTTTTTCTATTTAAATCCAAACTGAAAATAGATCTCAATAAAAAAAAAAAAATAGTGGGAATAGGAGAGGGAAGAGATGTACAACTCAGCACACATCCCCATGGACTTACCACTAAGGGTCCAGTTAAAAATTTGCCATGGGACTCCAAATCCCATTAAGCTGGGTGGTATCAATGCCTTCTTACATGTTAAAGTGATCATATTAAGTGTGTACTTGGTCATAGAGATAGGATTAAGTGTCAAAGGGATCACATAAATAAGACCAGTGTCTGGTAATAACAAACAAATTAAAAAGGAGAGAATGTTCCAACATGGGAAGCAGTCCACACAGGAGACTCATAGAATGACAAATGCCCTAAACAGCACTCTGACCTCAGATTTAGTCCTTAAAGTATTCATATCTTTGAAAATCTAATGAGAACATTTCAGGCATGGAAAGTGAAGACACTGTGGCACAAAATGTTCTACATGAAGTATATCTTTCAGTGAGACCCCAATGGAATGTAGGGGCCATCAAAGAAGGATGCATTTTTCTCTGAAGAGAGTAGAGAACTTCCTCTTTGCTTACGGTCCTGTCTAAATACTGATGGAGTTTGTGGTCTCAAAAGGCTTCCATAGCCTTGGCAGCTCATGGCAAGAGCCTTGGTTGATCACTGACCTCATAAATAAGAGTGTTGATTGTTAAATTAAAAACAGAAGTCACTGTGCACTTATTCCCCATCTAGGACCTCTGTCCTTAATGAGTTGTACTATGAGAATTAACTGCAAAACTTGTTCTCGAGCAGTATTTTATACATTGTGTATGTGTGGGGTGGTGCAAACTGTTAAAATCTTTACTTAGTACAGAGCTGACCTTCTGTATATGAATTTAATTAAAAATGAATCTCAATGAAGAATGGGATGGGAGAGGGAGTAGGAAGTGGGATGAGAGTGGGGATTGGAGGGTAGGTATGGAGGGAAAAATAACTATATTCCTAAAGTTGTGCCTGTGAAATTTGCATGCATCAAATAAAAGCTTTAAAAATAAGTAATGTGGATGTGAGTTAAAGTATATGGAAGGACTGCATAGGTTATATGCAAATACTATAGCATCTTCTACAAGAGCCTTGTGTACCCTAAGTTTTTAGTATTCACAAGATTACTTGCAGTCATGAAATCAATTCCCCACAGAAAACAAGGAATGAGGATTATTTAGACTCTGCCCTGATGCACTTATCACCGACTTTGTGTCAGATCTTCATTATTTTGTGTTTCCATTTTTTATTTATTTGTATTTTTTTTATTTATTTGAGAGACACACAGAGAGAAACAGAGACGGACAGAGAACTCCTACCCACTGATTCCCTCCTTAAATAACTACTGCAAGCAAAACTGAGGCTTGTGAAGCCGAGAGTCCAGAGTCAACTAGGTATCTAAAATGAGTAATAGGAACCCAGGCATTTGAACCATCTCTTGCTGCCTTTGAGTGTGTACATTATCAGGATGCTGGATTAGCTAAAGAGTCAGAGCTCAAACCCAGGTACGTCAAAATTGGTTCCAGGCATTCCAAATGACATCTTAATAGCTAGGCCAAAGAACTACCCCAGGCCCGCATCATTTCCTGCTTGAATTTCATAGTCATCCTTTCACCAAGTTCCCTCCCTACATATAAATACAGAATTAACTCCTTCTTCTCATATTCTTTGCTGCAGTGTTCCCCTGTTGGATGTACCCTGTGTTCTGGTTATATTTATTATTTTGGATTTCCTGGGGGTCTTCCTCCCTTCATCAAATTAGGCCTTTCACACAATTTTTCCACTGTTTGGCCTATTTTACATTCTAATTCACATTCTCTGCTGGGAAGATTTTTAACTGTCTTTCAAAACTCAGTATTCATGCCACCCATCTCTCATGTTTCCTCTTACCTTTGGGGAGATTAGTTTTTGTCCCCATGTCTTCAGAGTAAATAATACATACATCTACCATGGAACTTATCAAAAGACATCATCATGGTTTGTTTAGGTTTCCTTCTCCCTCTCTCAGGGTTATGGTTCTGCTATTCTTTGAGGTTGTGGTACACATGGACTATGTAATGTTCAATTTTTTCTCCCCAACAGAGTGCATAGCATTAAATATGGTAAGCTCAAAATCAATGTCTGAAATTAGTTTTGAATGCATGGGCATGACACATGCCTGCACTCCTCTTTCAAAGGTATTCCAATGTGGACAAATAATGAAGCTCTTGAAAAATCTGCATGAGTTTAAAAATAAGAATATTTTCAGATATTATTTTCTTAGTTTTCCAACAGAACATCCCTTTCTATATTCTTTGTAGTCATTTTCAGACAGATTTTTATCAATGTCAGCTTTACCTACATTAATTTTTCAATTGTTAATAGTTCTGTTAGTCAATTTTCTATGTGAATACATCTGAAATATTTAATACCCTTTAAGTAATACTCAATTTCAGTATTGAGTCCTATTAATATAAGAATAAAACAGGAAAAACAATTTTTTGGAGTTTTATGTATAAAATTATATTCTTTTCTGCTGAGTTAAGGCTCCATTCTACTGTCAAATAGCGCAAAATGTTTCATAAGCACACAGAGAGAAATTTATATTCTGCCACAAAGGAAGCTACCCATCTACTGCACACAGGCCATTTTGCTGGGCACCAGTGTCTGTGCCTGAAACACGCACTGTAGACTGCTATTGCTGCTGCTTCTGATCTTGTTGTCATTGATGTTCAGCACCAACTCCAATGGCTTTGTTGAATGTGTAACTATACGCTTTATAGTCAGCTTGGTTTATCAACCTTGGCCAGGAAAATTGAGAATGTCATGGTTACAGGAAACAATTGCTTTGTGGAATAACAGGCCTTCTTATGTGGCACTGTGTATTCCAGAACACCATCCTGATTTCTGGATAACACTGAGCTTCTTTCTTTTTCTTTTTTTTTCCACTGAGACTGCAGCTGAGGGCCAATAAACTAACAGGCATCAATGAATCTAGGTCCTGATCCAGGCGTCACATAATCTGAATGTTTGGTGAGCACAAAGATCTATGCTGTGGGGCACTGCCAGCTTTCAGGAGACACTGTTCTGCTGTGCAGATCTTCTAGGTGCTAAGGAGATAACATGCTTGAGAATTCTACACCTGAAGTGATACTGTATTCCATAGGCATGTACTAAAACTAGTAACAAAGGCTTAAATGTCATTAGTAGTGTTTCCTTGGGCTGAAATGTCAAGCAGTTCTAGGAATAGCATATCATCTTCTCCTGCTCTGCTTCTTCCCCTCACAATCTATACGCAGACGTAAGGTATTACAAGACTGTGCCATGAGGTATATTTTTAAACATTACATTGGAATAAGGTTCACTCCATCTTCTATTGATTAGGAGAGCATTTGCTAAATGTCAGATAAATTATTGAGGGAATATGGCATATCGTAGCTATGTTACAAACATTCAATATGCACAACACACACTACTATCAAATCGTCTGTGAAATGCCCCACAGGGGAATGGCAAATTCTTTGTGTAATCCATTGCACGTCATGCCTATTTTATCACAGGGTGCTCTTTGTGTGTGTGTGTTATAAACATTGATCTAATTTGTGTCCTGCAGAAACAGTGAACTGTGGTTTTCTTACGGGGCCTAGTTGTCTTCTTGACAATTTGCTCTACCAAGACTAATCAGTCACAGGAACAGAATCAATTTCTTGTAAGACTTCTGGGAGTTATATCCCACAAGGTCATTATAAGTTATTTATCAAGCAATGTTAAAACATAAGGACTTAGACTGAAAATTTGTGCCATTTTATGAATGTATACTCTCTTTCTAGACATGTGCGTATATGCATGTACATGTATACATACATGTACACATAAACACAATTTTGTTATGGCATGTGTATTCACATACAAGAATGCATACATATATTTACATGTCAAATGTTTAAATGCACACATAATTTTTGCTATTTGAAAAATCACATAAAATAAAACAGTTTATTCAGTAGCTAATTATTGTTGTCATCACATATATTAAGGAATGGTAAAAGAAAATCACTATTTTAACAGGAGTTCTTTTTTTTTTAATCAAAGCCAAACAAATGACAAAGTGTACCACTCCATCAAGTCCTTCAACCTTTGATGTTTTCTTTTCCTTGCCACCTGGGCGTCACATTTTTGGTTAGGTTGCACTTTCCATCATTGAGAAAGAATGGTCCCTTTGATTTTATGCCATTTTGGAAGGCTTAGAGTGCAGACTTTCCACAGATGTCTACTTATAAGGTGCATCTGTCTCCACAGCTCATTCTGCCAGCTGGCCATGGGTAAGCTAGCTGGCAGTATGCATAGTCTCAGGCTTCTGGCCAGCAAGCTTGAGCCTCAGGGCACTGGCTTCTAAGTCTTGTGATTCGTATCCCTTAGGACACTGGAGAAACATGGGGAAATTCTAGAAATATGGGCTACTGGGAAGTCAATTCACATTATAGAATATCAAAAAATATAGCATGTTTAACATGAATATTGGCACATTCATAGGGAGCTATTTTAAAATGGCTAATTCGGACTGATTGTTCTAAGATAGTTGTGCCTGTGTGACACTTTAGTACAGACTGCCTCTTGCCACGATTTAGAAGAAAATGTCAAATGCATATGATAAACAGGGAACACAGAGAAAAAACAAGCTTCCAGTGCCAGCCAGGCATGGACAGGTGGTGTTTCTCCAGGGAGATTTCAGGGTAAGCTTCATTGGAATGTTTGGCTCAGCATTCTTAGGTTTGAGCCCTGCCTTATCTTCTGTTTTGCTGAAGAGCCAGAAACTACTGAACTGGAATAAAGCCCAAGGTTACCTTGACCACTCCATTGGCAGAGTCATTCTATAAACTATTTCAGGTGGATGGATATTTATATTTCACCCCATGCTTCCAGGCAGAAAATATCTATTCTTTTGCTCTCTTCTTAGTGAATGTTGGCTACAGGTAGTGTTTAAGAAACCTTACCTTCCTCTGTATTTCATAGGCATATGCAGACAGTGACTGGATAAAGTTTGGATAAAGCATGGGCACTGCGGCATAGTGGGTTAAGCAGCCAGCTTCAGCACTGGCATCACATATGGCTGCTGGTTCTGGTCCCAGCTGCTTCACTTCCAATCCAGCTCCCTGCTAATGTGCCTCGCAAAGCAGCGGAGGATGGCCCCAGTGTTTGGTCCCCTGTTCCCATTCATGAAACTTGGACGAAGCTCCCAGCTGTTGACTTCCGTCTGGCTCAGCCATGTCAATTACAGCTATTTGCGGAGTGAACCAGCAGATGGAAAACGTCTCTCTCTCTCTCTCTCTCTGCTTCTAACTCTCTATCGTAACTCCATTTTTCAAAGAAACAAATAAATCTTAAATATATATATCTTAAATATAAATATATATATACATATATATATATAGTTGAATTTTATTCCCTTACTTCTTTGGGATATAAAAAAGACAGCTGCTTGCTAGGCAGTGGTATAAGAGGTTGAATGAAGAAACTGAACAGAAAATTTCTTAAACTCTTGCTTCTACTCTTAATTTTCTGACCCATTTTCAAACATTTTAAAGTCTACACTAATATAGGACTGGCAACTGTACTTTTTCCTTTGAAGAATTATTAAGCATAACATGTATGTAAATAGCATAAGCAAAACCATGGCTTTGGCCCAGCAGTATATGTTTTTGACACAGACACAAATTACCTTTAATCCTCTGTATTCTGTCATTTGGCTCACATAGTCCTAATTGCTCGGGTTTCCTTATAGCCAAGAGGTAGTTTTCTATTTATTCTCCTCCCACTTAGTGAAGATTCTTAATATCAATGGACAGATTTATATTGTTGGATATTCCCTTGCAGTTTAGTTTTCCCCTGTCTCTGGGATGAGAGAAGACAGACTTCATTATTAGGCATTGACAATAGATAATCACATCTTTGGGCAAGATCCAGAGACAGATCTAGAAACATCTAAAAGCTTAAATGGTAGAAACTTGAAGCTGAAAGAATTTTGAATATTTCCTTAACTTTGAATTAAAATTTTTGCATTTTTTAATGTATAGGTACTTGGACTCAAATATTCATCAATCTTTCTGTACTTCTTTGATGATGAGATGTGGTAATGCTTTTGTAAAGCATTTTTGTACAATGTAATTTTTCTTCTTTTTGACAGGCAGAGTTAGATAGTGAGAG